TGAAGCATATATATTTACCCACCTAAATATAATCTTCTTTTTATGAACTCAACAATTATTAAATGCCTACTACATCTCAGGTATTGTAGAACTGCATGCTAAAAAGTCAATTTAAATATTGTTTACAAATCAACATTTTTATACTTTAATCTTATCCAGCAGTTATTCGATTATATCCAGTTAATTTGTATATGCAGATGGAATTAGTTTTAGAATAGCATATAACATGAAGAAGGTCAGACCAACGAATCCCTTTTTTTCTTCCTTTGAGATTTAACTATTCTGAAAGTTGGATTGCACAAACCTAAATTATCTGCATATCTTCTCAATAATTCTAGCATTAAATTTAGTGAAGATAAGATATTTCATTAAATTTGTACAGAAGAAGGCAGTAAGTATGAATAATGAAAACAATGTAGTCTAGAGACTAGAATGTAGTCTAGAGACTAAAACACTCATTTTGACTTTATTCCTTTCTAATAGTGTACCCTGTAGAGCAGGCTACTTAAATTAGCTAATCTTCGGTTTCCTAATTATAAATTAGAGATAATCATTATTTTATTGCACACCTCAGAGAGTCATTTTGAAGACTGTTTGTAAAATAAGGAATGTGAAATTGCTTTGAAAATTTTGAAGTGCTCAATAAATGTAAAGGTTTCCAAAAAGTTCATATTTTTTAGATTAAAGTTTATCCATATTATATAGGAGATAATGACATCTTAATGCCTATCAATGTCCTTGAACAAGTTTTCTTTATTTACCCATATAAGAAAGTAAGTAGGCTTAGCTTTATGGAAAAAAATGTAAAATGTGCAGTTTATATTTACTCCAGCAAACACCCTCAATTGTTTTATTATGCTAAATAAAATGTGTTGGGCATTGATGGTGATATATTTGCATATGCCTATATGTATATGTTTGTGTGTATGTGTACATATATGTGTGTATATATACACATAGGTATATGTTTATGTACAAATGTATACATATAGGCATAAACAAATATATCACCATATTCCATATTGTTTGATAATTATTCCAAAATTATAATAATATATTGGATCCTATTGCTAAAAAAGTGAATAGTGGGAGAATTTATATATATATATATATGTATATACATATCTATACACACAAGTATAAAATGTATATATGTTTATATATTTATAAATAATTTATAAATATACAGAATTATATTTAGGTAGATAAATACATATGCTTCAGAGTTCAAATGGACCTGAGTTCAAATTCCTTCTTTGATTTTTGTAGCTGTATGATCTGAAACTTGAGTGAAATTTCTACATTGATAAAGTAGAAATAATAATCAACCCTACTTTATTTATTGCTACTAAATCATATTTTAATTATTCACTGAATTACACATTGGATATAAGCATAAACATAAACATATATACATATAAACTATAACTTTTACACATATACAAGTATATTTATATAGAGATACACACATGTGTATGTATATATATATATATATTTTCATCTTACATGATTACAATGCCATTGAAAGCAGAGATACTTCATTTTAATATCTCCCAAATTGTCTAGAAAATCCTTATAAATAATGCATATAAATATGCATGCGTGTTTGTGTTTTTATATGGATGTGTTTTAGGGGTCCTCAATGCATACTGAAGGACTGATAGTAAGATCATGAAGACGGAATCTCCATCCTTACATGGTACTTAGATAAGAGGAAATACACATGTTCACCCTCATATAACGCCCAGTACGTTATGCTCTTCCTTAAACAGAGAGGGCAATTAATAAATGAGATCACTACAAGTTAGAATATGACAAGGGCTATGCTAAACATACAAAGTGTGGAGGGATCAAAGAGGAGAAGACAATTCATATTAATTGATTGTTTTTGATTTATAAAATGTATCTCCCAGATATTTGTATTTCACTTTTTCAGGGACACAATATTCTTTAGTATTATAATGCTCTATCAACATGGGAACAAATCTAATGTTTCTGATGTTACTGCAACCATTTGCATGATAGCCTTTAATCTCTAGTTGTGTTAAAAGCTGTCATCAAGTTATAGTGTTGCAGGCATCTCAAGCTGTCAGTAGAGATAATTTGGGGGGGTCAGAGCCTTCCTCTTATACCTAAAATCATAGTATTTTCAATTTTGACTCTCTTGAAAACATTTCTAACCTCATTTGTACAGTTGGTGGCAGATTATGGGGCTGCAATATCACTTCTTCCTACCTCTTTCGCTGTCTATCCTTCATCAAAAATCTTCTAGCCTTCCCAAGTTCTAACTCTGGGAGCACCATTCCTAAGAATGGCCAAGGGCAGAGGAAAACACACATTGGCATGTTAACCCAGTCACAAACCCTGGCTGGAATATCCCAGTCTTTTATCTTATTTTTTTATTATTTTTTTTTTTTTGAGATGGAGTTCCACTCTTATTACCCAGGCTGGAGTGCAATGGCGCGATCTCGGCTCACCGCAACCTCCGCCTCCTGGGTTCAGGCAATTCTCCTTCCTCAACCTCCTGAGTAGCTGGGATTACAGGCACGCGCCACCATGCCCAGCTAATGTTTTGTATTTTTAGTAGAGACAGAGTTTCACCATGTTGACCAGGATGGTCTCGATCTCTTGACCTCGTGATCCACCCTCCTCGGCCTCCCAAAGTGCTGGGATTACAGACTTGAGCCACCGCACCCGGCGGAATATCCCAGTCTTAACATCCCTCAGACCATCTGCTGGTCCTCCTCTGTCTCTTCCCGAGATTTCAGTTTTTTATGTTTCTATCTGAACACTAGTTATTTTGTTTCTTTCCTACCTCCTTCTATAGTTCTCTTCCCTTTACTATAGCTTCCAAAGAAATTGAAACCGAGAATCCATTCATAGATGGCCTCTGTCTTTTGTTCCTGGTACAAGTGTTTATGAACTTTTAGTTGGAGGTGCTGTAGAACAAAACTTGGGAGTAGGGAGAAATTGAGGTATCAGACATTCTTTATGAAGTGAAGATTGTGTGAATATGTAGGTGGAAAGTAAGGGCCACTACAGTATCATTGCTATATCTATTCTCATTTGTTCCTGGCATCCCAAGCAAAGAAGATTTCTCTGAGTGCTACAGTACACTGCCAGCCCCAATATGGAAATCTGCCTTCTTGTACTTTCCATCTGAGCCTGCTTGCCATGTAGCTCAGCGATGATTATGCATATCATTACATTGGGTCATAGGGACTTTGTTGTAAGTTTTATTGTATTACAACATCACTTGATTACAGCAGAATATATATCTTCAGGCTTCCTAGCTTATTGCTCATATCACGTTATCATTTGCTCATAGCTGTCTGCTGACAGCCTATAATATTTAAAGGGGACACTAGGGAGTTGTGAAAATTACTTTGCTTATATAATCTGTGTGGTTCAGCTACACCTACTAAAATTGCCTGGTTTCCTTCTTAATTATAGTCATATCCTGTACTGTCATCCCTGATGGAACATTAGACAATATGAGCTGTTGATTTGTATCTACTTATTGGTAAATAAAAAAGATACAAATCAATAGGTCACTGATACAGCCAGTTGTCCTTGTTCTATTTGATGGCATTTAATTATTAGAGTAGTGATTAAACTTAAATATCTAAATGCGCATATGCATCATTTTGTAAATCCAAGTAAAAATTCAACATGCTGTAGAGTTTAGATTACAATGGAAATTAGCAAGCATAAGACTTCACCAAAATGTTTACAGAAGAATTACATTTTTAAGGGAATCAATCATTTGATAAATGAATAAACTGTTACAATAATAGTAAATTTATAAGATATACATATAACTCTTTAAATACATATTAAAAGTTCTATCATAAAAATAGAATGAAATTTAAAGAATACCTTAGCTTCTCCAAACTTTCTTTCATTTCTCTGGTTGAAAAGTCTCAAATTCTCCCATTATTCACTCCTTTGACAATAGGATCCAATATATGATTGTAATTTTAGATTAATTATCAACGAATATAGAATTTAGAATGAATTCTTTTTTTTCACCCTTGACAATGGCTTGGAGGCACTGGGACACACCACAGGTATGTTTGATGTTGGGGAAAGGGTGAAACATCATATAACAAGAGCCTTAATAGAACTGAAGGAAATAGCAGGTATGGGTGAGAAGACCTATGAATAAGAAAAAGCCTCTGGAGAGTGTGGGCAGCAGAGGGAATCTTCATCTATTTGTAGATTCATTGTAATGAAGATGGTTATGCTTGCTATGCATTAGAATGACATCAGTGGGTAAGAAGATAAAGGGACATAACTTGGTTTAAAAAAAAAAAAACAGAAACAACAACTGTAAAACAGAGTTGTTCAGAGATAGAATCATTGTTCAGATTCTTAGGAAATGAACAATGATTTCCTGTATTGTTCACAACTTAGGAAAAAGTGAATGAATCAATGCTAGAAGAGGCTAACAGGAATAGAGTTCCAAGGTGAATGGTCAAATTAAGGGCACTTCCTTCTTTAAGATTCCATGAATGTACAAACCAAGTGGAGGTCTTGGGTGCGTACAAAATTTCAATGTAACTATGATGGTGACAGTGTTATCACCCCCTTGAAGGACTGCGAATCTAGAAGGGAAGAGCTGCATAATAGATTTTTATATTACATGGACATAACTGTCCTTTTATCATTTTTAATTCACAGAGATTGGCAGACTTCATTGTGGATGGAGAATACATTAACAAAATATATGAATTCGTAGAAAGATACAGGGATATGTAGCCTGAAGTTGCACATCTGCCACAAACTGGTGAAATAATTGTTGATAAGTTAGTATCTCTATTAGGCATATCCATATCCCCATCTGTAAAATGAGGGTAAAACATGAGGTTGTAAATAGCTAGCATATTAAGGTCCATAGGAGTTGTGATGAATTTGTTGTTTTAAGTAATTGAAAAGGTAACACAGTTTCAGTAGTTATGTTTTATACAATTATAAAATATATAAAAGTATTAACTTACAGAAATATAGCTGGCATTAATATAATCTGAACCTGGAACACCAGCATCAGCTATCAGCTTTACTCTGTTATTATTATCTAGAAGAAAATATAAGGAATCAATGCTAATTGGCTTTTTACATTGTTACTAATTTTTTTTACTGTAAATGTATTACAAAGGAGTTCATAATATAACATGCCAACTTCACAGACGGTGGTAAATTTAAAAAGTTATCTCTTCTCCCATATTTCTACTACCCAGAGACAATGACTATTAATATGTCCTTGTATATATTTCCAGAATTTTCTAAACATATTCTTTGCATTCTAGTTTTCTTTAGCTACAAATGGAGTGATATACAGTCTGTTCTGCAAACAGTTTTTTTATTTATATATATCTTTCCATTTCAGCATAAACAAAGATATGTAGCTCATTACTTTTAAAAACTATACAGTATATCACTGTTTGAATATACAATAACATATTTATTTAACCCTTTATTATTTAAATGATCCACTTTGTGATTATAAAATGCTGAACCGACATAACTAAAATTTTGCATATATGTAGGAGATATTTGTATACTATATTACCAGTAGTACAATTTTTAAATTATATATATGTATGCCAAATTTTGAAAAATATTTCTAAATTGTTCTCTAACTGAATTAATACTCTGAACCAAAGTGTTTGAAAAATTCTGTTTTCTCTTACTTTCACTATCACAAGATATTATTAAACATTTTAATTTATTTATGTTCTTTTGACATATACAAATTAATGTCTCATGATATTTATTTTGATTTCCTTAAATACAAGAGAAACTAAGCTTTTATTGTTTATGTTTATTGACCATTTTAATGGCCTTTCATGTTTTCTCCATTTTTATTTTTTTTTAAAGTATGCTAAAACCAGAAGGCTTCGTAGAGCCTTCTGTCATTCATATGAATTAAAATGTTCTTTTTAGTTTGTCGTTTGTCCTTGACTTTATCTATCAATTTTGCCGTATAAAAATTTATATTATTATGCAATCAAATTTCTCATTATTTTTCACTTTGGCTTCTGGATTTTGTACCACTTGTCAAAGTTGTTTGTCATACCAAATTATTATTATTTTTACAATCATAGTTTCTTCTGAAAATTTCATGGATTTTTCTGGTTTTAAGTATTTCAAACTTTGGCCCATTGGGACTTTTTTTGTTATTGTTTTTGAGGAATGAGGTATAGATATATCTTTTATTGCTTATCCATTGTCATTGGAAAAACAAATAGTATCAATTTTTTAACATTTCATCTTTTCTCCCTGATTCAAAACACCACCTTATTTTCTAGGTAGTTAGATATATCTCTAGACCATTTATACTTTTCCATTAATTTATCTGCCTATTCTTTCTTTCTTTCAGATTTCTAATTATAATTTTTTAGAATATTTTAAGATCTAGTAAAATTAGATACCTTGTACTCATTACTTTTTTTCAAAGAAAAATGTCAGAAATTGTTTTTTTTCTGTGAAAGTACCAAGTTGATATTATAATCAAAACATCCAGTAATAATTTTAACTGAGCATGGAAATGACATGAAATATCCACTACTAATTGTTTTGACAGGCTTTTGTTTGTTTTCAAGGAGGAAAAATGGGTAAAAATGATTGGGTCTGAATTCCAGATGATCTGCCTACCATACATTTGGCCTTGGGTAAATTGCTTAGCTTCTCTGTTCCTTGGTTACCTCAGCTATAAGATGTCATTATAACTTAGCTTTTGTATAACCCTCTTGAAGAAAATTTACATGAATGCTTATAATAGGCACTTAATACATGTTCCTGGGTTCTTAAAACTTAAGCACATAATTTGTTAAAATGAATTAGTTGTATTGTTAGTAGTTACAATTGCTTGCTCAGTGTGGTTACGGTTAGAAATGGGAATGATTAAACACATTTCTGCAAATGATTTATGTCCTAAAGTTATGGAATTTTGTATGATTTATTTGAATGACATTGTAACTAGTCCTGTAACTAAGGAAGAGAATCATTATGCTTCCATTCACTAGATGTACCTAATTATAACTATCTGAGTCAACAACAAGCTAAGCTTTTCTTCCTGGTGTTAGAATATTTCTGAAGGTCATAGATGCCTGTCAAATGGAGATTTGGAAACTCTTCTGCAAGTATTTGCTACTAATTCTAGTATCTTAAAAGTGTTATATAAGCTTATGTCTTCTAAAACATACTGTGATATTTGGCATTCTACTTTCTGCACTACTCAGGGGAGAGAAACAATACACTTAATTTAGCTGGCTCAAGCTAAAATTCAAATTATATTAAAATGAATTCAATCTCTATAGGAAAAATAAATTTTCTTCAGCTTTATGGGTTCTCTGCAAGCACAATAGGAGAATCTACTTAGTTTAAACATCTTATTTGCTTGTGTCTAGTGTATGCTTGTGTGTGTGTGTGTGTGTGTGTTTGAGAGAGAGAGAGAGAGAGAGAGAGAGAGGTGTACTTGCCCATAGAATAGGTGTGGCTGTGACTTTACAGCTGACCCAGGCTAGAGACTTGGGTTTGTTGTCTCCAGACAGCAGCCTACATGCCTATGAATTAATCTTATTCACCCAGAAAGTTAGCAGCTCTTAAAAGGAAGTGATCTATTAACCAATAAGATAAGAACTAATATGTGGAGTATTTCCTGTGTTCCAATACTGGACAAAGTGATCTACAGCATTATTTCATCTAATTTTTACAATACTCTTATGGGGTACAAGGCCACTGAATAATATGTTCAGAGTCACTAATGTAGTTAGTGGGGAAACAGGTTTGTAACCCAGGAAATCTTATTAATTTGAATATGGAAAATTGGCGTAGTCATACTCCTCAGTCCTTTTTATTATTTTAAGATTGTTTAGTTCCATCAACCACTCTTATTCTCTTCTCATCCTATTTGTAATACATTAAAATTGTCTAACATTTCTTGTAGTCATAAAGGGACCCAGATAATAATGGACTGACATCTTAATAAATGATTGAAAAGTCACACTGTAAAAAAACTTTCTAATATATCAAATTTTACATATTTCAAATTAGACACTCTTTGGAAATAGGTTAGATGTATTTGAATTACTTTATACATACTGATATATTATGCATTAATTCTAGACAATGGAAAAAATACCAATTATTCCACAGTAACTGTCCTTTAATCAGATTATATTATTTCTTTTCACAGAATACCACCAAATAAGCATGAAGCAAATAGTTTGGATGAAATTTAGGTGCAGATAAATATAAAAACATAGGAATGGGGTCAGACGCAGTGGCTCAGGCCTGTAATCCCAGCACTTTGGGAGGCCGAGGCAGTGAATCATGAGGTCAGGAGATCGAGACCATCCTGGTCATAGTTAAACCCGGTCTCTACTGAAATACAGAAAATTAGCCAGGTGTGGTGGTGCACACCTGTAGTCCCAGCTACTCAGGAGGCTGAGGCAGGGGAATCACTTGAACCCGGGAGACAGAGGTTGCAGTGAACTGAGATCGTGCCACTGCACTCCAGCCTGGTGACATAGAAAGACTCCGTCTCAAAAAAAAAAAAAAAAAAAAAGGAATGTCCATAACTTTTAAACTTACATTGTACCCAATCTAGTTTAACTCTCTAAAAGGAAGAATAAAAGGTTCTGGTCTTCGAAATTTAACCAGCCTGACCAACACGGTGAAACCCTGTCTCTACTAAGAATACAAAATTAGCAAGGCGTGGTGGCGCGTGCCTGTAATCCCAGCTACTTGGGAGGCTGAGACTGGAGAATCGCTTGAACTCAGGAGGTGGAAGTTGCAGTGAGCCGAGATTTTGCCACTGCACTCCAGCCTAGGCAAGAAAAACAAAACTCCAAAAAGAAAGAAAGGAAGAAAGGAAAGAAAGGAAGGGAAGGGGAGGGGAGGGCAAAGGGGAAGGGGGGAGGGGAGGGCAAAGGGGAAGGGAGGAGGGGAGGAGGAAGGGCAGGGGGAAGAGGGGGAGAGGGGGAGAAGTTAGAAGGGGAGGGGGGAAGAGAGAGAAAGAGAAGAAAGAAAGAATGAAAGGAAGAAGAAAGAGAAAGAAAGAAAAGAGAAAGAAAGGAGAGAAAGAAAAGAGAAAGATGGAGGGAGGGAGGGAGAGAAGGCAGGAAGGAAGGAAGGAAGAAAGGAAGGAAAGAAAGGAGGGAGGGAGGGAGGGAGGGAGGAAATTGTGAATGTTTATTTCCTAAAACAAAATTTTATTTGTCATCTTGCTCTTAAAATCATTTACTTATGATTTGTTTTATTGCAGAAAGGATTTAGGTGGTTAAAGCTATTTGTATTTTCATCCTATTCTACTTCTTAGAAATTAACAGATTCTAGAAGATTACTACCCCCTGTATCATGTTTTCTTAAATTTGTTTCCTTCGTGAACTTCATAAGTTATTCTCTAGTTCCATAATATCAGAATTTGGTCTGTTTCTTCCCATGCATGTCCTTTACAATTTGACACTCTGTGATTACATCCTTCTCTAGGTCTATGTCTTTTTGGAAAGAAGAGCTCAAGTTTTAAGAACTACAGCAATTTCCCCAATATACATTTTAAAAGGCATAGAAAAAAAATATATACACACAGGTGCATATTATCTTTAAAACTGGGAACATTTAAAACTCTAGACTTTGAAACCGTGTTTCAGGACATCACAATATCACATTTTAATTTCATAGTGTAAAATGTATTGAATCAGAATATTGATAATTGGGATATCTGTTCAAAAATATATTAAACATATACCTACTAGTAACAGAAAAATGTCATATTTTCCTTTCACATCACTGTTAATTCTTTAAGAAATAATACTTTATTTTCTTATTGATTGAAAAATGTTGGGCAGTTTCAGTTCCCCCCCTAATAATGGGCAATTTCAGTTCCCCTCCACACACAAAAAAAGAAAAATGAAGCTGTGTTTACTACGGTGAAGCACAATCCTGCTTCATTTGTAAAACGAATTCATGTAAGTGTGCATTTACTCTGATCTTCAAAGAATATTTTACAATGCATTTTTTTATGTTCCGTAGGAAACACTGCTATGCTCTTAAGGGAAACTAATGCACAAAACTAAGTGTAAATTTTCTCTTTGCATTTGATGCTAGGTCTGTAGGAAGATGTTAAACCGGTTTGTTACTTGGGTTAAATGACAAAGCTAAGAAACTATTAGGTCTACAGTTTCCTGCACCTGCATAAATGAACTTGTATGAACAAGCTGAAAACCACATACACTAACTTTAAATAAATATGAACAAAGTGAAAGAAATATAATTTGATAGTCACTGCCATAGAATACATTATTATAATTCAATTAATATAAAACATATTAGGAAACAACAAAAAAAGTTAAGATGGTAGTCATTTAAAAATACTTCCTAGCTAAACCAAAACCAACAAGTGCACATACATGGTTTTATGTTTGGGAAGCGGTTTTTTGCTCTATTCCAAGGCAGATCAGCATCAGTTGAAGAAAGATCCTGAAGAAATTTTGGTAATTCCTGTAAAATAAAGTCATTGCAAAGTTTACATTTAACAGAGGTAAACAAGAAATTTTACTAATTAAAAGAGTTATTTGCGCTAAACCTTAAAAAATTAAATTAAAAGCACCTATTGTAACTGTCGAAACAAGGTCAAGTTAACAGTAATGAGTTTACCTAAGCTTTCACCACAAATATCCTGAATAAAGTTGGTCAGTTGGGCTATTGGCCTTTCTGAGATAATTTCTTTGCACTTTGGGAAGGCTTAAGCTGTGGCAATCACGTTAGTGACCATTTTCCATATGTTATGAATGTTTCATTGGGTACACACTAATGTTTAATATTTTAATGTCTACTTAGTAGGAAGAGGGATTTCAATGATTTATTTTTTGTTTTTTCTCCTCAGGCAGTGTGATTTCATGCCTATTAATTGGTACAACATTGGTCAGTTTGAGCAGATGCCAGAGGTCAATTCCTGTTCTCAGTAGGCATTGTTAAATCAATAATGGAATGCAAAGGTGTGATGAAGAATTATCAGATGCAGATGAAGTGTCAAGAAGATCTATTATTGGCATTTGATGAAAAATTATGATATTATCCATCCACCTTGCTCTTGGCAAAGCAAGCATCATTAAAAAGTCTGATATAAGACAATATGTTCATTATTTTGTTAGGCTTAAAATTTACATTTATGAAATTTACAGTTTTCCATTTTAGAAATCTCAGCTTACCAAATTCCATAAAAAGCACTAACAATGTGTGTTTTAACAGTTTTTCAACATCAACATAAATTATTTCTTTTAATTGGGTAAGTTTCCTTTCCTTATTCTTCCTCAAAAATAAAATCTGGACAGTTGTTTACATGTGGGTATGTATTAAGGGACAGGAATGGTATAAGATCTGAATTCTGATGTGTTGGCACCAAAGGCTTAAAAAACAATTTTTTAACCCAATGAGGAGTCCTAGAACAGCTTCCTTGTGTCAAAGTTTTGGAAATACATAAAGAATGGAGAAAAAAGGTGAGTTTAAATGAACTGAAAGAGCACTTATACTTTATAATTATTTCACATAAAAGTTTCCATTTCTAGGCCTAAGCAGCTCTGGCTTTCGTAAGCAATGCTGAAACACCAGGTTGGTTGGATGGTAATGGTATACTGAGCAGTCTTATGCTTATCAGGGTGCACAAGGCCACAGGTCTCCCTATTTAGCTCTTTCTCCTGTTGTTTCCTCTCTTTTTAGTGGGACCACAGATGACTTAGGCTGCTTTTGCATTCTTATCCTTTTCTTCCCCCTGGAGCACATTTTTCCTTTATCTTCTCATTGGATTTCTGCTCATCCTAAAGTTCATCTCAAAAGTCACCTTTTTTATGAAGTCTTTTCTGGCTGATATACAAGCAGATTTTATCCTCAATCTTTATGCCTATCTTCATCATGATACAGTATATATGCAATTTTTATCCACATCTGCAGTTCTTACCATAATATGAACTTCGTTATGGTAGAAATTTATCATCATAATAGCAAATACTTGTGCCAGCTACTGTTCTTAGTATGGCTTATATTCAATCATTTTATAGTCATAATTTAATAATGTAGATATTATCATTTTACAAACGAAGATATTGAGGCACAGTTAGTTTAAGTAATTTGCCCAAAGTCGCTTAGCTGTTAAGTGTTGAATTAATATATATCAATGTGCCAGATACAATACCTATCATACAGTAGGAACTTATACATATTTAAGGTGTCAGTGAATATGTCTTAAGTTAAAAGTTTCATCACATATATGCATCAAAAATGTGTTTATTAGAACATAGTAATTTAATAATTTTCATTTAAAAATTCTCAAAGCATTAGAAAAAATACAATTTTTTAAAAGTTCTTAAAACTATGGTCTTCAAAAAAGTTAAACTAGAAACTTTCTCATGTAGTATATGTGAAACTGTTACTGCTAATAAAACTTTTTATCTACTCGGTCATGCATAATGTAATTATATTCGCTCTTATTCTAGTGAAATTACACTTTTGCTCCTGAAAAATTGAGAGTTCTTTCTGTCTAAATGCCAGGAAGACTTTTATGGCACCATTGATTTTGTTAAGTCCAGACCAATATTACTTAAGAAGCATAACCAAAAGTCTGCAGGAAATGCAATTAATCTTTTCTCGTTTTTGTTATTATTCCCTAAGAGACCGAAATATTATAATTCTGAATTATTTAAACTGATCGTTTTATTCTTTGTTTCAGAAGTTCACACACTGGGAAGTTCATGGAAAAAAATAAAATAGAAATAATGTTTTTGGTGGCATTTAGAAATCTGTCTTTTTTAATAACAAAATCATCTAAGTTAGAAAAGATGCTTATAAGTCTTAAAGTAGCTTGCAGATTTTATATCTACCTTATGTTTTTAAACAATTTCAATTATACAGATATGCAGAATGTTAAAAACAATAAAACTATTCCCAACTTTTAAGTAGATTTAAAGTGACAAATTCTTAATTTTATATATTTTCATTATATGATACAGCATTTATTCCATAGTAATATTTAAAATGTCCCTATAAAACATGGACATTACTTATCTGTTTTTTTTTCTTAATTTTTGGACAGTTCTAGAAATAATTTTTATTTATAGTTTCTGGAAGCATCAAATTCTGGTCTCACATTGATCTATATCACACATGTAAACCAAGTAGGTAAATATAAAATGAAATAATTTAGTATCTAAATGTAAAATAAACACTTAAGTATAAAACTACATGTATAGTCTGACCTAAACCTTGATTACAAACAAAAACTAATGAATACATCATTCTATATTTGCATCTACATCTGGATGAAAGAGCAAAGAAGAGACAAGGTCATGCTGCCAATACAGGGAAGGTCTGAAGAAGAGCACCTTTCCTGACACAGTAGGTGAATAATTCTGATCAGGTTGCACCAGAGGCTGCCCAGTGTAACATTACTATCAAAACAATCAACCTGGTAATTGGGTATTGATTATCAAGGCTACAGTCCTTCATGGCCTTGCATGCTTAAAATGGACATGAAATGTGACACATGAAACGACTGGAGGTCTTGCAATGTTGTGACAACTGCCAGTAACATACCGAAAATTCTTCTTGAAACTTTAGGTTGTTGTTTGTGCAGAGCTCTTCAACATGTTGCAGGAAGGATTTCTTGCTTATTGGCCTCCAAATAAAGAAAGGTGTAAAATGGGGTCATGTTAGATTGCATTTGTTCCCTTTAACATTGGCACTGGCTTCACCGTTAACAAGTTAAAGAACAATGGATCTCTCAAAAACCACAAATAACACAGCCCTTTAAAGTCACTCTGTTATATTTATAAAGTTAACCTTTCCTCTTTAAGCTCACTTTCTTTGTATTCATGGTACAAAATTCCTTCAATATTTTTGTGACATTCAATGAAGGATTTAGCACTTTAATGAAGAAAGTTTTTCAACTAAATGTAAGAGCATAAAGTTATCACTGAATCCTAAAGCACATAATACCTCTTTGTCAGACAGAAAGCATTTTATACATTACAAGGTTTTAGAAGATATAAAATATTGCAGTGACCTCATTCTCATAATGACATGGTTTTTAAACCCCAAGGAGTTTAAATATCCCCGTATTACTTCCCAAGCTAAAATACAGACATGCAGGCTTCACCCCAGAGAGAGAGAAAGCATTTCTCCAGTTACCGTGCAATTAGTCATGCTTTTATGATTTATATCCAGCTTGGAGGTTTTTCCAACAAACATACAAAAAGTGAATCACACATTAAGGTTCTACTGAGTTAGTACATCTAACTTTAATATTCAAAAAGAAGAAAAAATATTAACAAACTTACTTGATGGATTTCCTATAACTAAGTAACCTGCAATAGAGATTGTGTTAAATGCATTGTGAGTCAGAGTGGACGGCTAATTCTGAAAGAACTGCAGATTAAAATCAGAAAATTATAATAAATAAATAATTTAAAATGTGCTATGCCTTTAATATATGATCATTATTTTAAATTTCACTTAATTTTTTTGAAATTATACTATTTGGACTCAAACATGGCAAATAATTTTGCTTCTTCCTCCAGCCAAAAAGGTATTATTGTTATTATAAATGTCATTATAAATGCCTGAAAATGTTAGGCACTTAGGATGCTACATTAAAAATAGGTCACTTTTTAATATATTGCATGGTATTTAGTGTTCTAAAAGAGTTAATGCAGATTTTAAAAATATTTCCTCTATCTATAGAAAGTGCTGAACCAGACAGAATGAATCAATGAAAAATGACATCACATTGCCTTAGTATTGTTTAATGGGTGAGTTTGGATAAATACACAAAAACAACAAATTGTAACTCTTTCCATATTTTAGACCTGTTTTTTGTGACAAATTGTTGGCCAAATTATTTATACTTTGAAAAAACAAAGATCTTTTTTAACAACTAAATAGATTACACAACACACACAAACTTAGAGATGCATGTATCATTAATAACACGTCATGCACAACAAATTGGCACTGCAAAAAACACAAAAGGCACAAAATATAATGAAAGGAAATAAAGAACATATGACTTTTTCAGAGTTTTAAATTTAAATTAATATTAGTGATTTTACTATATTCTTTAATTGAAGAATTTTTATAAGAAGTTATGTTTTTTGAAGAATGAATAAAAGAAAATAATCGGATTGGAAAACATAGCATAATACATATAAAAATGGTCAAAAAGAGGTGTATTTGATGAAGGAAACATGAGTTAAAAGGAAGTATATTTCATTACAATACCAGAATTGTTGAAATATATGGGAGTGCTGAAGCAGGTATAACAAAGCAGAATGATAGAATTCTCAATTAATGATGAGTGTCCCCAAGCAGAAGGAGATATTGTATCTTCTAGCTTCTCGGGGTAAACATAAGGTGGTAGACTATCCCATTACCAAACAGGGCATCTAAGTGACAAAGTAGCAGTGGGTAACAAAGAGTCTTGGTGAATAAGCTTAAGAGTGCCTCACAATACCCTAGAGTGATTTAAAGAAAGCAAGAAAGAATTCCTGACTCTAGATGGATATGGAGATGGCTGAAAGGGATACAAAATGAGAAGAATCCTTGATTTGGGGAAGGGAAAATAGAATGTCTGAATATTGGAGGCTCTGGAAATATCTCTGACATAGTAACATATGCAGTGGGGACTGAAGCAACAATCAATCTTTGTTGAAAATAATTACCCCTCAGCAGAGACCAGCAAGAAAGAAAGACAGCTATGGGCTACAACCATACATACTATCTAGCTCACTTAAGATAACTTGTTGCCCAATGCTCCAATGCTATCTTTTTCTTCAGAAATAGGAAAGAATAGAGGGTTGTTTTGGGCAAATTCTGATTAATTGAACTTAAGATATAAATGACTGAGATGCTTTGATTAGCAAGATCTATTTTCCTGCTACCACATGGACATAGAAACTCTTCAGCTGTGTGGAGATAACTTTCATAACAACAGAAAATAATATTCCACTGTAATTTGTAAAATTTAAGCACACTATATCTGATTTACTGACAGGCTAGTGGTCCATCTATATAAGGACAATGAGACTGCCATCCTATAGTGGAGAGATTCCTTTTTCCTAGAGGATTAATTAAGCTGGTACTAAAAAAAAGTATTTCTACTGGGTTAACTAGAATCTAAAATAGATGTTAGTTATTTCCATTCTTCAGTTCAGAGTTATGATTAATTGAATAAATTTATATTTTTTGTTTTAAGTCCATGTCTTTTTAGTGAAAAACTCTATCAAAAGTTGCTTTTGTTTCACTATTCGTAATTCGTTTTGCATTTAAAATCTCACTAACCATAAACATATATTTGCAGAAACACATCATTGCAAATTTATTAAGTGCTGTGAAACTCACATTTTTTTTCCCCATTTATTTATTTTATAGTATTTTAGGTTTTGGGGTACATGTGAAGAACATGCAAAATTGTTGCATAGGAACACACATGGCAGTGTGATTTGCTGCCTTCCTCCCCATCACCTACATCTGGCATTTCTCCCCCTGCTATCCCCCCCCAGCTCCCCACCCCCCACCGTCCCTCCCCTATTTCCCCCCAACTGACCCCAGTGTGTAGTGCTCCCCTCCCTTTGTCCATGTGCTCTCATCGTTCAACACCCGCCTATGAGTGAGAACATGCGGTGTTTGATCTTCTGCTCCTCTGTCAGAAACTCACATTTTTAAAAGTTCGTACAGACACCATTGGTGCCTGACCCACATCGCCTAAGTACTCAACATTCCCATGCAAGGAGATGGTTTACTACTACAAGCACCTGCCACTCTCCCCAGAGTGTCTCCTGCATGCAGGCTGGAAGCATTGGAGAGTCCCCAGAAACAGCCGTCAATCAATGACTAACCAGAGTTGGTGAATAAACACCTCAGCTCCCTCGCCCCTCAAGAGGGATAATAATGATATGTGTTTTGTGATGTCCACCTAAAGATAGTTTTAAACCATAACTGGCTATATTGGGTTTGGGTGGATATTTGTGAATTCTTGCCTTATTTTAAATCTGATGCCAGTATTGGTTTCAAATACCTGCTCAAACAATTACTAGTTACGTTATCATGTACAACACTTAATTTTTCTGTGCATCAGTGTCCTAGTTTGGAAAATATAGTTTGGTAAATTAAGTTCATATATGTAAAAAGATTTCAAGGTCTCTGGCTTTAGTAAGCAATACATAAGTATTGGTTACTATCATTAGTATGATAATTACTATTTCTAGTTTATTTTGTTTAACTCAAGCTGCTCCTATCCATACTGTTCTACAATTGATACTGATATAAGGAAGGGACTTTTTCCATTATTTCCACAAGAATATTCTCTTTATTGTACTCAAAGATGGATAAACTATATTGTGCTAAAATATAGTGGTCATGAATATCTAGATTTTCAATCGAAGTCTGGATTTCTAGTTCTCAATTCAAGATTCCAAACGAATATCTAATACGATGACCATAATAATTCAGTTTTCATATAATTATGTAAAAAATTTCTAACCATGCCTACATTTCTGACATTATTCTTTGTAACTCCCCTTCATACATCCTATGTGCACTCCAGATATTCTCTAGGTATCCCTCCCCCTCAATTTTATACCATTCCAGACATTCTTTCTACAACAGAAATTTTACTTATTCTGTAATACCTGATTCAAATGTTAACTATCCTACTGATCTTACTCTGTTCTTCTAAAAAAAATTTCCTTTCTTTGTAAAATCAAATTTCCAAGAACAAATAATCTTCTATGTTATACTATGACTATATAAGTCCCTGCATTAAGGATACAAGCATTTGGGTTCATATACACTTGAGGGTTGGGGCAGGATTAACACTTGGCTTACTAGATGTCCCTCATAACATTATTCATAGTAAACATTAAATAAATCATGTTAAATATAAAATTGTGGGTGAATTCAGATTAAGATAGACAGAAAGCAAAATATGAATATTCTGGTTTTATTGTCAGAGAATATCTGAATCGAATACACTTTCCCACTAAATTATTAAGAAACAGAATTCTCAAGAGATCCTAACTCGAAGCTTTAAATATATATGATCAATAGATTCATTAAAAAAAAAGCATATGAGTCTAAGCAAAAGCCATATTAGATCATCTAACATTGTAAATTAACAGGTGCACTTTGTTAGGAAGTTAGATAAATGAACAATAAAATTTCTCTTGTCTACTCAAGTAATTGATAAATAGGCACACACTTTAAGAAAAAGAGGTGGAATCTGTTTTGGTTTTATTTTCTTCTGTATCACTCTTTTTTATCTAAACCTAATCACGTTGTGGAATCTGTTCTTCACATTTATGTTTAAATAACATAAGAAATAAGGCTTCTAGTAGTCCAGTTTTTATGTAATTTCTAGTCTGTACTTATGTCACAATCATTTGTGAGTTCAAATCTTGAAATACCTAATCAGGAATGTTCAAATAGAGAAGACATTTTGAGATAAATTACCTATTTCAAATAAAAATTAGATATTTCCTTCTTCATTTTCGTCAGTAGTATACTTATCATTGCTTTGGTTCTTAGCCTCATGTTGTATAGGTGTATTTATCCCTTAGGTATTGGCTGCATTCTAAATTGTATTTTTCTTTGAGGTTTTAAACTTTAATGTTTATATAGAACAAAATATGAATTTGAATAATTTATACAGAGAATTAGAAAAGAAAATGGGACATATTATAAGGAAAATGCACTAACTTATCACTGATGAGGTATAATTAAATTCCTAATGAGAAAAACTGTTTGGTTAAATTAGCATCAAAACCTCACAGAAATTGATGTGCATGAAAATCAGTAACGTATTTCAGTAGTGCTAGTTTCAAATGAAGTGATCCACGGAGCTACTCAAACAAACTCAAATAAAAAATCTTCTATTAACATTTTTAAAATTTTTAAAAAACTGTTAAATGGAAAACATTTTTAGACTGGTAAGATATTCTCATTCACTTATGAGAGTGAAGGTTACTGTCAGACTATATTCAGTTCATTACTGGATAAATCAATTTGGGAACTGTCCAGATTTCAATAAGATAACTGACTAATTTCCAACAGAAAGGGTTAAACACTTTTTATTACATGAATCTTAACTGTCTTAAATCCTACATATTTTGGTTGAAAAGAGTCTTATTTCACGTCTGGACTCATTTCTTTAAAGCCTATCAAAAACTTAAATTCCACTCAGATTACTCTTGATGGATCTAGAAAGGAAGCATTTATTTATGTTGGCAGTGGTGATTGAAGACCATATTGTCACAGAGACTCAGCTTTCCCTCAAGGTCAATTAGTTGAAATCTACAGGGAATTAAAATAC